ATATATAATATTGCAGAAGTTGTGTTCGTACGAGGAAGAACAGGATGAAGGATGGATAGAAGATGATTGGATCTCGTGTGATTACTCAGAAGATGAGACTTATAATGCGATTTAAACACGGACTGAGAACACTCTCGTTTATTTAGCTTTAATGAAATTGCTGTGAAAGATTTGGAACAAGCCGGCTTATACGATCAATAGAACTGTTCCAAATGTTGATTTCAACTCGTGTAACTCACCTCAGACATCATCACTAAAATTTAGGATAAATTATTATAGCCATAGTTATAGCCATAGGTACTCATGCGTTTATTGAACATGCGTTTATTGAACATGCGTTTATTGAACATGCGTTTATTGAACATGCGTTCCAAACAGCTTTTGTTGCACTCGCAGGATTTTGTTGCTCGCACTACACAGCATAAAATTTATATTTTTGTATTTGCAGTTATAGACAATGCTTTAATAACAATGTGATTGTGTGTAATACGACTATGGCAGTTCCTTTCGAAATTTGTAGTGTTCAATTAATTGAATGGCCACAGTTTAACACTTCAACTATATATCGACGGGGCACTGAAAATTGCCGCACGTAAACCAGTTTCCTGCGAAGGCAGTTCAACCATAGATGAGTTTAACTTGAACTGGCTTACAAAAATCTCTGTTTTAATTCATGAATATTGATGATGTGGAAGTCGGTTTCAAAATCTTTCAGTGTAAAGTTGAAATTGTTTTGGTGCAGCACAAGCTGTAAGCGGCTAGCAATTTAAATCATTTCTGTGCTTCTTTTACAGTAACACTATTTCAATAGTCTTTTTAGGAAAGTGCGATCTAGAATGGTGGTTGCCAAAGATTTAGTATTTTCCTGACAAAGAGCCTTTGCTCAAAACGTCAGAGTTTTTTGAAAGAACTTCTTTCATTGAAGTTGGCAATTCAAAAGAAAAGTCCATGGAGCATGCCATGTATTATCCCGACCACGCTTCTAAATTCCAGATAAATGACTTCGCTCAAGTCGCACAAAAATCTCTTTGTTTTAATTCATGAATATTGATGATGTGGAAGTCGGTTTCAAAAGCTTTCAGTGTAAAGTTGAAATTGCATGTTTTGGTGCAGCACAAGCTGAAGCAGCTAGCAATTTAAATCATTTCTGTTCTTCTTTTAACACTATATGGTGCATTAACTCAGGTATATAACGTGCATGTTTGGTCATGTCAACCATGGTGGATGCAACAAAAAACTATTTATTCTATAAACATAAGTGTTATATAGAGTTTTTGGCCACTGAGAAAAATCGTATTTAAACACCGTAAAAAATACGATATTTTTACGTGTGAAAATATCATTTGTTGTAAAACGCATTGCCACGGACGTTTTATTGTTTTTCACTGAATTTTTTTATATAATAAACAGAAAAATACATGGGAGCTTGGAAATACCAGATTTACTTCTCGTGTTGAACATGATATCTCACTCGTTCGCTGCGCTCACTCGTGAGCCATGTTCAACACTCGAAATAAATCTGGTATTTCCGCGCACCCATGTATTATTCTCTATTTACTCAGCGAATCCGGAGTCACAGTTCTCTTCGATCTCCCATCTCTCACCTCCCTTTTTTATTCTCCTCAGAGTCGTCTCACTCTCTTTATTCTTTTCACTTTTTCTTCCCTTCGTCGTGTTTTCAAGTTCGAGTGAGAAGACTGCCTTTCCAACCTGACCCTAGGTAACGACTCTACCTCCAATCAACTACATCCATATTCCCATATTATCCAACAATCACAACATCACCCCTCTTACTAATATTACACCTGCGATAATCGTCCGATTTTTACCGACTTAATAAAATGTAGATGTAGATGTAGATACACCCGATGTATCATGTCCTATGATTCCATGCAGAGTATTAGGTTGCAAGTCACTGAATACAGCGTCGGCAAGTTTTCCTCTCGTACAAGTAGTTGGCATCTCACAAAAACAAGTAAACGAACAAAAAACCAAGAAACAAGTTTCATTTATTGAAAAGCAGAAAATTTCTACACTGATTTTTACATGGTTCGCTAAATATTCATATGTCCTTTAGTGAAGGCTTCTCCTTTAACATCAGCTACAAAAGAAAAGTATGCATATGCGTGAAATGCCATCAGGTAGTCGGCAAGATATTGAATCCCAGTCGGCAAATTGTTTTCGTAGTCAGCAAAACATGAATTTGGATAGGAAGGAAAATATATATATATATTTGAGTGACATTGATTAGAATTTAATAATGATGGCTAATATGTGGAGAAATTTACGACAACATGAGGAAAAATAGTAGAAACATTAGTAGAAATAACTCGGCAAAATTGACCTTATAATAACTCGGCAAAATTCACTTATACCCTCCCCATTGAAAGAGGTCTAGCGCCGTCCTTGCTCAGGCCTCGAAATAACTTTTCATGATACGCCTGTCACGGTGACCGTCAGGTTCCATTTTAGAGCGCTCACATGTGATTTCTGATTCCCACATAAGGTGCCAATGGTTGCTTGATAATCGAAGAAGCATTCTCGGAGAAATCGTTTTGGCAAGAATCAAACAGGAAACGTTTAATACCAAGAAAACCTTTACAAACTGACATTATATTTAACGGGTCCATAACACGTCAAAAATCAATCTCGCTTCCAGAGCCAAAATGTGACACTTGGACCGACGTCCAACAAATTTGGCCATTAAAACATTGGCCGTTATTTGAGCCCTGGTGACGTTTAACAAAGAGACAGCTTTCAGTGAGGAAACTGAAGGACTCGGAGAAGTTTTGAAGCATGTTAACATGTTAACAATAATACAGACTCCTATCCTTGACGTACAGAAGAAGGTTTACAATCATTTTCATTGATGTGTTACGACACATGTCCGAACTACGTGTTATTTTGACAAACTTCGACCCCTCCCGCTCCCTTCTCGATGTTGGGTCTCAGTTAGCATCTTACTTTGATGTGTGAGCGAGTAAACAACATGGGGAGGGGAAATGGTGATATAAATGTTTGTAATAATTTGCTTACATCCACTGATGATCTAAAACCGCAAGTGTCTCAACAAGTTTTGAAAATGATTGAAGCTCAGCGATAGGCAATTCCAGCTTTTGACTAAATTTTGATCTAGGCAAGAAGAACAAAATCCATCACCACAGCTAGAAAGCGCATGTTAAAATTAGTAAAATTGCAAAATTTGCAAACTTCACAGGGCTATATTTTCCTCATTTTACAACATTTCGCAACCAAACTTTGCAATTTTACTAATTTTAACATGCTCTTTCTAGCTGTGGTGATGGATTTTGTTCTTCTTGCCTAGAACAAAATTTAGTCTATAGCTGGAATTGCCTATCCTGCTGTCCTTTAATTTCCGGACGTTTTAGCGTGAGAATGTTAACCCTGGACCTTAAGTTAAATACATTATTGTACTTACAACCCTCGGGTATAGTATGCGATTCTCCCACTTGACAATCTTTCACCGTACTGTTTTCATTGATAAGAGCATTATTACAGATCACGCTTCCTGTGATGTTACAACTAGGAGAAAAATAGCCAAATAAAAGCACAATATAAAAAGGCGAGGGGCAAATCACTGATTTAAATCACGTTCATCTTCAAAAATATCATCATAAAAATAAAAAAGGCACAAAAAATAACATGATTTTTATCACGTACACCTTCTAGGAATGGTTTGTAGCCCCACAAATATTTAATTACAAGCATGCACGACAATAGGTTGGTCTCCTGCTATCAAACTGGAGGAGGGGGAGGAGGGGGAAGAGGGGGCTGCCTACCGATCGTTCAATTCCGATGAATTGTGTCCACACTGTTAGAAAGTGATTTTTTAAGATCTTTCCATTTTCTTCAAGTGCTTCCACAATGCAGGAAACGCCATTTCAGTGACAGAAAATAGTAAATTCCTAGCAGCGCCACTTTCCGTAATGTAGAACGTCATACAATTAAACATAAATGGTAACAAATAATGCACCCATAGTGACACAAAATATCGAATAGAATTACTCGAATTTATAAGATTATTATTAGCACGACAAAATTACTTGATGCTGATTGGTTGAGAGGAGTACAATTATTTCATTAATTGTACTGCAGTACAATTAATGATTTTCGCAAAACAAACAAAATGGCGGAAAGGTATTTTAAACACAAACGTGAAATGAAATTTCCCTAGAAGAACTAGATGAAAATACGAACAAAAGCACCAAATGTTGCTTTAACAAAAGAACTAAATGAAAATACGAACAAAAGCACCAAATTTTGGTTGATAGTCTGGCAGGACTGGGTTTTGGCGAGAGAATATGTTGACATTGAGAAATATCCTATTTTGTCATGGCAAAATTTGGCAAAATTTCCAAACATCACTCGTTCTATTAATCCCTAATTGTACGAGCAACATCGCATGATTACCTATACAATTAAAATTTCAAATCAAATCTATCAAATTCCAGTTTTGATTGAGAAAACTTAAGGTTTTTGCAGTGAGTGACTTACCCATCTTTTATAGAGACATGATCCATTATAACAGAATTTGTTATTTTCACTTTATCACCGATTGTTACATGTTTACCAATAATTGATTTTTTAATTGATACTTTCTCGGAAATATTGCAACCCTCTCCGACCATGCTGTCAGATCCAACCTGATGATTCATGGAAAAAATAGTCAAATACATTGCTTTGCATGGTCACATTATCATAGTTATTAAAAATTTAGTTCAATTAGTTCAAGAACATTCCCCCCCCACCGTTTCATTTCTGCAAGAGTGGGCTGACTTAGTCTTTTGCAGTCGCTTAATTATCATATATACTTATCAACAAATGTTGTTCGCTACTGACTATTGCTACAAAGGTCTAGCAAACTGTTTGCCCGTTATCTGACTTCGTAATAAATTTCATATTAAGTAATTTATTGGGAGTTTGTCCAGCATATTATAGTCCACTGTACCTGTGATTTCTTAACGTTCGCCAGCGGATGTACGAGTTCTTTTTTCGTGGATAATGTTGGTAAAAGTTTTGGAATCTAAATGAGACAAAGAAGCAATATAATAATATTAGTCAACATGATCATAACTAAACCAGAGATATAAATATCCTGGAAAGTATACGACAAAAATAAATGATTGATTGATTGATTGATTGATTTTAATAATTACCACATTGTAAATTAATAAAAATTTAAAAAACGTGATATTACATAGATAGTATTAAAATTTTTAAATTTGCAAAAAGTTCAATTTAAAACTACTATAATATAAACTATATTAATGATATGTGCTATAAAATATTTTGTTATGTCTATGGTCGGTCCCAGTTTCTAACACACTTTGGGATAAAACTGTTCTTATATCGTTCAGTTTTGCACTTATACATTGGATAAGTGCGTTTATTTCTTAGACTGAATTTGTGAGATATAGCACTGGGAAGTAGCGTTCTCAACTTATCGTCTGAGTGTTGATGGATATTCTTATAGAATGACAAGCACTGATTCTCTCTTCGCTGGTAAAGTGTAAGAAGGCCAGTGTTTCTTAGTGAGGTAGTATAGGAGGACTGGGGGAAAGCGATTTTCAATGCACGTTTGTGTATACTCTCGATTTGATCAGCGAGGAATTGAGGGAGAGAAAAATGCCATACAGGTGAGGCGTATTCCAAAACTGGACGAATAAATGCACAAAAGACCGTTATTAAATCATTGGCTGGGGCACCAGATCGGTTGAGGATCCTTAGAGCATAAAGACGTTTACTTGCTTTGGTGCAGATGTAATCAATGTGCGCATTCCAGGTAAGATCCGATGATATTATCACTCCCAGAAGTTTGAAGGTCTGGACCATTTCTATGTTTAAACCAGATGACGAGAGGGCATCAAATACCATAGGGACTCTAAGAAAGGATATACGCAGTTCTTTGGTTTTGGATACATTAAGCCGCATGTTGTTGTGATTGGTCCAGTCATTTATAGTGTTTATATTAGCTTGAAGCGATGAAGTAGGGGACGATCTTGAAACGATTTCGTATGTGGAACAGTCATCGACATATTTGTACATTGGAGTGTTGGTTTGCAAGTCATTTATCATCACAAGGAAGAAGAGGGGTCCAAGTTTTGTACCTTGTGGAACCCCTGCATTTATTTGTCGCCATGTTGATTTATTCTGGCCAAGCTTGACACGTAAATATCGGTCATGCAGGAACTCAGCGCACCAATTCAACAAGATAGGAGGGATGTTGAGTTGTTGTAATTTATGAAGTAAAATATTGTGATCGATGCGATCAAAGGCTTTCGAAAAGTCAATCATACAACATCTGATAGTTGAACCAGGGTTTTCTAATTCGGCTAGCCAGTTATGGATCATGTGGATAAGAGCGTGTGTGGTGGAGCAATTTTTCATATTTCCAAACTGGAGCGGGTCGATTGATGGTTTAATATAACCAAAAAGCCACCGAAAAACAAAGCTTTCCAATAATTTACTCAGCACCGGTGTGAGAGAAATAGGTCTTAGGTCGCTATCAACTGATTTGGGATTAGATCTTTTTGGCGCTGGGATAACGTCTGCTGATTTCCAGAGTGTCGGGATGCAACCTTGTGCAATGCTGGCATTGAAGATGGAACATATTGGACCAGCGAGCAACGGTGCAGCTGATTTCAGTACCCAGTTGGGGATATCGTCGGGGCCAATTGCTTTCTGAAGACTGATCTTTTCCAATTCGATTTCGACTTGTTGGGTTGATATTATGTACTCATCAGGAACAGATGTAATGTGAAGCTTATTGAAGCAGAGTGGGGCCAATTCGTTTGAAACAGCACAGAAAGATTCGGCAATTAGTTCAGCAAGCTCAGGACCTCTTTTGAACTCACCATCATGGAAGATGCTCGAAAAAGGTTCCGATTTAGATAGACCAGAAATAGACTTGATGTTATCGTACCATGTTTTTGGGTTAGATTCACTGGTATTAAGGATTTTCTTATCGTAGTAGGACTGACGAGCAGATTTACATAGTTTTCTAACTTTGTTACGATAAATGTTATACATGATAGTGTTGCTGGTTAAATTAACCAAGCTTTCTGCCTTTTAGAAATGAATTTTTTTATATCTGCAGTGATCCATGGTTTATCTTTAGGGTAACACTTTATGGTGCGCAGAGGGAGGTGACTATCGATAACAGAGGATAGTTTGTTTGAGAATAGGTTGAATTGATCATCTAGAGCAGTTACATGGCAAAGTGGGGTCCAGTTGATTTGGGATAAGGTGGTGATTAGGGCTTGTTTGTTTGCGGGTCGACAGTCTCTTTTAGTAATGTAGGAGGGGGTATAAGACTTGAGTGACTTCGGACTTTGTTTAGTCGGGTTGAGGAGAACAATTTGGTGATCAGATTGTCCAATGCATGGGAGTATAATGGCATCAATGTAATGCTTCGAAAGGGTAGTGTAAATCTTGTCAAGGATATTGTTACCACGGGTGGGTCTTTTCACAACTTGTTTAAGATTAAAGGATGAAGTTAATGATCCAGGTTTAAACTGGTTAAAGTCTCCTAACAAGACGATGCCTGCGTTTGGAAAATTGATGAGGGCGTTGTCTAGGGATTCAAATAGATGGTTCCTTAGTGTTGAATCGTTATTTTGTGGAGGGTGGTATACAGAGGCTATTACAATTGCATCAATTCCTCTTGGAAGTCTTTTTGGTTTTATCAAGAACCACTGTGATTCAATGTCGGGGTGAAATAAGTCTTTTAATTCTAGGAAATCCAATGTATTTCTGATGTAGGTGCAGAGTCCACCACCACGTTGATCGTCACATCGGTCTTTGCGAATACTTGAAAATCCGGGGATCTTAATGAGATCATTCGTAATGTTTGACGAAAGCCATGATTCTGTGATGATTGCAACATCACATTTATTATTAGTAATAGTTGCACTGATCTCATGCACAGATCAATGAAATGACATGCGTACATCAGTGTTTGGGGTTGCTAAATCAGTTACGATCAGACATGCCTAGATTACCATTAGAAGGTGTTAGATAAATAATAATACATGGCTATATAACCAGTAGAGGGTGTTAGATCAATGAAATGACATACGTAGATCAGTGTTAGGGGTTGCTAATTCAGTTAGGATCAGACATGCTTAGATTACCATTGGAGGGTGTTAGATCTATGGTATGACATGCCTATATTACCATTGGTGGCCTAGGGTTGTTAGATCAATGAAATGACATACGTTGATCAGTGTTAGGGATGGCTAAATCAATTATGATCAAACATGCCTAGATTACCGTTGGAGGGTGTTAGATCAATAATAAGACATGCCTATATTACCATTAGAGGGTGTTAGATCAATAATAAGACATGCCTATATACCAGTAGAGGGTGTTAGATCAATGAAATGACATGCGTACATCAGTGTTTGGGGTTGCTAAATCAATTATGATCAGGCATGCCTAGATTACCATTAGAGGGTGTTAGATCAATAATAAGACATGCCTATATTACCAGTAGAGAGTGTTAGATCAATGAAATGACATGCGTAGATCAGTGTTTGGGGTTGCTAAATCAATTATGATCAGACATGCCGAGATTACCATTAGAGGGTGTTACATCAATAATAAGACATGCCTAGATTACCATTGCAGGGTGTTAGATCAATGAAATGACATGCGTACATCAGTGTTAGGGGTTGCAAAATCAGTTGCGATCAGACATGCTCAGATTGCCATTGGAGGGTGCCAGATCAATGGTATGACATACCTATATTACAATTGGAGGGTTGTCAGATCAATGAAATGACATTCGTAGATCAGTGTTAGGGATTGCTAAATCAGTTACGATCAGAGTATGCTCAGATTACCATTGGAGGGTGTTAGATCAATGGTATGACATGCCTATATTACCATTGGAGGGTTGTCAGATCAATGAAATGACATACGTAGATCAGTGTTAGGGATTGCTAAATCAATTCTGATCAGGCACACCTAGATTACCATTAGAGGGCGTCAGATAAATAATAAGACATGCCTAGATTACCATTGCAGAGTGTTAGATCAATGAATTGACATGCGTACATCAGTGTTAGGGGTTGCTAAATCAGTTACGATCAGACATGCTTGGATTACCATTGGAGGGTGTTAGATCAACGGTATGACATGCCCATATTATCATGGGAGGGTTGTTAGCTCAATGAAATGACATACGTAGAACAGTGTTAGGGGTTGCTACGTAGATCGGTGTTAGGGGTTGCTAAATCAATCTACGCATGTCATTTCATTGATATAACACCCTCAACTGGTAATATAGGTATGTCTTATTATTTATCTAACACCCTCTAATGGTAATCTAGGCATATCTGATCATAACTGATTTAGCAATCCTTAACACTGATCTACGTATGCCATGTCATTGATCTAACACCCTCTACTGGTATATAGGCATGTCTTATTATTGATCTAACACCCTCCAACGGTAATCTAGGCATGTTTGATCATAATTGATTTAGCAATCCCTAACACTGATCAACGTATGTCATTTCATTGATCTAACAACCCTCCAATGGTAATATAGGCATGTCATACAGTTAATCTAACACCCTCCAATGGTAATCTAAGCATGTCTGATCGTAACTGATTTAGCAACCCCTAACACTGATCTACGCCAAATGCATTTAACATGCCTGTACAGTATATTTAGTTTTTTTTGCAGGTAGCCAAAAACATTTTCAGTTAGCCCTGCGTGGTCCAAACTTGCTCACTTCGCTTGAAGCTTGCAAATTGCGACAGGGGACCATGCACCGAAGAAATTTTTTTGAGTTAAGTTTCATATTGTCAAAATTGAGTGTTCACTAATTTGCGCAAACCCAATTGGTCAAAAATTTTTATCTATCAAGCCGAAAACGGAGTTCTAGCTTTTGAAAAGGGAGCTTTAACTTTTGAAAAGGTAGTTCTGGGATTTCAAAACGGAGTTCTGTCATTTGAAAACGTAGTTCTGGCATTTGAAAACGAAGTTTTGGTATTTGAAAACAGAGTTTTGGCATTTGAATAAAATTATCGAAATGATAATTACGATAATTTATCAAATGATAATTACGAATTCCTAATGCTTCTAATAAATTCGTAATCCTCTTCTTCAATGGTTTTTCATATGCCATGCAGAACTCCCTTTTCAAATGCCAAAACTTCGTTTTCAAATACCAAAACTCCGTTTTCAAATGCCAGAACTCCGTTTTCAAATGCCAGAACTCAGTTCTCATATGCCAGAACTCCCAGCCTGGTCCCAGTCGTTCTTAAGTAACCGTATGGTAGCGAAACATAGCCTATTTCATTGTTCCGACAGCATTAGAGCAAAACTAATTACTTAATTATAAACGCAAAGAAAATTTCCATAACATTTTCTATTTACAAATGCGGTATGCTTGGTAACCAGGCCAGGGACCACTTTTTTGAAATCAGGGACCATTTTACCGAAATCTGCTAGGCTCTCTCGCTGAAGCGTTCCGCACAGCCCACCCAGGCATAAAACTTTTAAGACTTATTTAAATATATCAAAGTAGTGAATAGAGAGAGAGCCTGGGACTAGGCTGCAGAATTCCCTTTTCAAATGATAATTACGTTTTGAGTTTTGGAATTTTCATTTATTATAACTGATTTAGCAACCCCTATTAAACGCTGATGTACGCATGTCATGTCATGTCATTGATATGGTAAGCTAGGCATGTCTTATTATTCATCTAACACCCTCCAATGGTAATCTAGGCATGTCTGATCATAATTGATTTAGCAATCCCTAACACTGATCTACGTATGCCATGTCATTGATCTAACAACCCTCCAATGGTAATCTAGGCATGTCATATTATTGATCTAACACCCTCCAATGGTAACATAGGCATCTCTTATTATTGATCTAACACCCTCTGATGGTAATCTAGGCATGTCTGATCATAATTGATTTAGCAACCCCAAACACTGATGTACGCATGTCATTTCATTGATCTAACGCCCTCCAATCATGATCAGACATGCCTAGATTACCATTGGAAGGTTGTTAGACAACGATATGACATACATAGGACTACAATATCATTTTCGATAATACTTCATGAATACATTCTTGGTCTGGGAGCCTTGCTCTCGTCAACCAAGACGGAAGGCGATTGGCTCACGATTCATGAGAGTGAAGCTCCCAGGCCAATAACGTACTCGTGATGTAATTATCGAAAATATGTATTAGTGGATGTTAGTGTATTGATGAAAACGTAGACCAGTGGTATAGAGTATTTTAAGTAACGATAGCTTTTTGTCATTGATATGAAATACAAAAATCAGCATAAATTAAAGAGTTTTGGATTAATAGTCATAATAGATCATGGATATGACATTCCTAAATCAATGTTAAAGAATGTTAGATCATATATTAAATGCCTAGACAAATGTCAAAGTTTGCTAGATCACTATTACTATTAGGTCCTTCCAAAGTTTGAACTTTAGAAAATAGATAATAAGCGACTTACAATAAAACGTATATTGTACAAGTTTTTTAAAGTGTATAGGAAAATCTATTTACATTACTACTCCAAACTAGCTACTTACTAAGCATTCCAAGAGCTTTTTCAATGGCTTGTCTATTTCCTAATAGAAGTATGTATAATAGTTCTCTTTCCTATCTCCATTTCATTGCACAAAATCGCAAATAGACTAGAAAATCAGCTAGAAATGTTTTCAAATATGGCAGCTCAAACAAAGCTCAAGAAGAACGTGTGATAGAAACACGATTGTGATTGGTTTATATATAATGATATGCGAAAGCGTCAGTGTCAGGTAGCGCAGGCGATACTCTGGCACGGGTAATACCGAATATTCTCAATTGAGAACATATGGGTAATACCCGTTGAGGTGTATGCTAAACGGGTGCATGTTATTGCATTACTTAATTGAGATTCGCTGCGTTATATAAGATATCGCTACTGAAATTCTTCATATTATATGACATTGTATTTGCAATGTTAAATACGGTTGCATTATTACTGAACCGGTATGATTCATAATATAAACCTTATATCTGGAACATAAAACGCCAATTTATGCGTCCAGGTGGTCCTCTGTAAAATTCGATGTTCTGTTAATTAATTCTATAGTAAGGCTTGAATTGCATGGTGCTAGTTCTATATGATACATTGCTCTGTGACAATATATTTGTTAACAGGCCCTATAGTACTGTATGATGAAGATTTCATTGAAAAGACAAATGATAAAAACACTTTGCCTTCGAACTATAAAAAAGTCAACAGCGCAACAGGATGGCTAGGCGGCAGCCAACAAAAGCCAGAAACGACTATGACGTAATTAGTTAAAGAAGACAAACGCAGGTTTTTGGCACTAACAAAATTTGCGATCTTGTTGATATTTTCCCTCGCCTCGGCCTTTGATGCCAACCGGGCAAGAAATGCTTCTCGCGAAAACATGTCCGAACCACGTCGTCGCTTCGACATTTCTTTTAAAATTGTATTTAAACCTGTGCTTTGCCTTTGAACTCGTGATCGGCATACATCACTATTTTTTAGACACTATCCAATTTCTGTCCAAAATTTATCGCAGTGGATTATGATATCGCCATATCACCTGATCAATTTTTTATAATATATCGCAGTAATTGCAATGACACCATAAACAACATCTTATTATTAAACGCCGAGATTGCGCGCTTGGTCGATTCACAATCAAGACAGGCAAAATTTCACGTCTATCTGAAACTAGTTGGCCGTGAAGGATACAATGTGCGGCAGTGCGGGCTTGGGCTCATAAATACATATATACTGATACTCGACATTAAGGAAATTTTATAGCAGGTGTAGAATATGTTTTCAGATTTTGCTTTGTATGCTTATTCCCTTGTATGCTTATTACCTTATTACCTTGTTACCTTATTGCTTGCTTATGTGTGCTTATTCCCTTGCATGCTTATTACCTTATTACCCTATTACCTTATTGCTTGCTTATGTGTGCTTGTTCCCTTGCATGCTTATTACCTTATTACCTTGTTACCTTATTGCTTGCTTATGTGTGCTTATTCCCTTGCATGCTTATTACCTTGTTACCTTATTGCTTGCTTATGTGTGCTTGTTCCCTTGCATCCTTATTACCTTATTACCTTATTACTTGCTTATGTGTGCTTATTCCCTTGCATGCTTATTACCTTATTAACTTGTTACCTTATTGCTTGCTTACGTGTGCTTACCCCCTTGCATGCTTATTACCTTATTAACTTGTTGCTGGTCTATGCCATGTGCTTAATTCACCAGGAATATATAACATGTACATTGCATACATTTTGCAATTATGATAAACCTCAGAACCGTTTTTACCTGTCCAACCTGCCCATGCAACTTGAACGCTTATTACGAAATTACGAGTAATAAGTAAAAAAAACGCAATATACCGGTCTTATTACCTTGGTCACTTTGCCTACATAGCTAGTTTCAATGCTTATTACCTTATTACGCGTAATAAGAGCAAAATGGCTTAACTAACGGTCTTAAAACAGGCATCATTTGAAGGAAATGCTTCAGGAGGTAGTTGCCCGTACCAATACATATGTCCACATACAAATAACCCAAAAATCATCTTCGTATACTAATAAAGAAGGGCCTTGGACGTCCACCAATCTTGAGGAGATTTAGAGGTTGATTGCCTTTTTAGTATATACAGCTTTGGTAAAGGTAGAAAGTGAGATTGAAAATTATTGGAGTGTAAAAACCTTATAGCATGGTCTGTGGGAAATCGGTTTAGGTACAAATCCCCTATAGCTTTTCTGAATGTGGTGGACCCTCCGCCTAGTCCCAGTCGTTCTGAAGCAAGCGCGAGAAAAAAGTGGATGTAGTACAAGACTGGGACCTAAGTGTGACGTCACCGCTCAAGGTGCTTCAGAACGCCTAGCAGATTTCAGTATTTTTAATATGGCGGAAAATTTATATATACAGGTAACCTTTTAATATTAAATACGACAATGTTCGTTCATCATGTACATGTTCGATGTCTACATAATCAAATCAAACCGTATTAAAAATGTGCTCAACTAAAAAAATTATATACAAATTTACGATACCAAGTTTGAACAATCGTTGATGTTATTTATACTCGCAAGTTGTGATCAACACTAGACCATACTGGTATACACAACTACGCTTTTTACTTGACAGGTTTAAATTTCTGAGGAGATTGGAAATATTTGCCTGACATGACGGTGTTGTCAAAACATTTTTAGTCGGAGACTCGGCATAATTTTCAAGCTTCCAGATAGCATTTAATATGGCTATATATTTTAGTAAACACGAGTCATATTTAGCCTGTTATTCCATTCTGACCGTATGGCAGCGAAACGTAGCCTATTTCATTGTTCCGACATCATTAGAGCAAAACTAATGACTTAATTATAAATGCAAAGGAAATTTCCATAACATTTTCCATTTACAAATGAGTTATGCTTGGTAACCAGGCCAGGGACCACTTTTTTGAAATCAGGGACCATTTTACCGAAATCTGCTAGGCTCTCTCGCTGAAGCGTTCCACACAGCACACCCAGGCATAAAACTTTTAAGACTTATTTAAATATATCAAAGCAGCGAATAGAGAGAGAGAACCTGGGACTAGGCTGGTGGACCCTGTTACTGAAAACCGCAGCAATAAACTGCATCAAGAACTGTACCAGCCATCGCAGAATATTGCTGTTGTCTTTTGACGAACACATGGTCAAATCAAGGAACAGGCCAGGGATTAGGCAGTTCATGAAAGATAAGCCTACTAAGTGGGGGATAAATCTGTAGGTTGCTACAGACAGATCTAATGGTTATACTTACGACTTTGAGATTTATACAGGGATGGAGTCCAGAGATTGATCGCAGCATGGATTGGGGTATAATGTAGTGATGTGATCTAAGTAAGTCTTAGGTCTTTTGTGGTCTAATATATATTTTGTGCCAAAAAAAGGAAATATTTTCATAATCCAATTGTGTGGATGAGTCCTGCTTTGGCACACATTACTTTTTTGTAACTACAGGTACCAGTGGCGACGCCAGCCCAACAACACTTGGTCATGCTATGTGCAAATATTTTGATGTTCTAGATTGTGAAACAATCAATTTCTAAAGAAATGAGTAATTATTATTTAAAACTTGCATAGCATGATCAAATTGTCAGGCCGGCTATGCCACTGATAACTAATTCAATGGTGTACTGATTATCTAAGCATGTATATAG